AGAGAGTGATATATAAGGAATGCAGGCAAAGAAGTAAAATTGTTCGCAGGCACTTTATAAGCATTTCAGTGCAATAACCGAATAGTTATGACACAAAGGACGCATTTGGATGATTTTTTACGTGGTAGAATTATCGGCCATCTGGAATGTGGGCGTACCCAACTAGAAGTATCAGACGAACTTGGAATTGCCCAGAGTGTCATCTCCAGGCTTTGGCAACGATTCCGAGATGATGGTAATGTGAGTAGACGTTACAGCACAGGTCGCCCCAGAGTCACAACGCCGAATGAGGACCGGTATTTGGCAGTTACTGCCAAAAGAAACAGGCGGAGCACAGCCTCAGACCTGTCTCGTCAGCTCTCTTCAGCCACTAGTACGACAATTTCAAGGCCGACTGTGTACAGACGCTTAAGGCATATTGGTCTATATGCTCGTAGACCTGTCAGATGCGTTCTACTTACTGCAACTCACTGTCGCCTGAGGTTAGCCTAGAGTAGAGAGCATGCATTGTGAACACCGCAACAGTGGGCTTGTGTGATGTTTTCCGACGAGTCCAGGTTTAGCATGCAGTCTGATTCTCGCCGGACTTTCATATGGAGAGCTCCAGGTACCCGTTACCACCAAGAAAACATCATTGAACGACACCGTTACGGTGGTGCAGGAGTGCTCGTTTGGGGTGGAATTATTCTGGGTTCCAGAACTGACCTGCATGTTCAAATTGGAACCATGACAAGCCAAATCTATCGGGACGTCATTCTGGAACAACATGTACGTTTGTTTCGGGGTGCCATGGGCGCACAATTTGTGTTTATGGATGACAACGCCCGTCCTCACCGTGCAAACATCGTAAGCGAATGCCTTCAATCGGAGGATATCACCCGTATGGACTGGCCAGCATTCTCACCGGACTTGAATCCAGTAGAGCACGTGTGGGACATGCTTGGCCGACGATTTGCAGCCCGTCAACCTCCTCTTACATGTCTACCGGAACTTCGGAGAGCATTGCTTTTTGAGTGGTGTGTAATATCCCCCAAGATCTGATCGATAATTTGATACTCAGCATGCCTAAGCGTTGTACGGACTGTATTGCATCGTCTGGGAGACATACAATGTATTAACAATCATGCCAACCATGTAATATTGGTTTTTTGTAAATAGGGTTTTTTTTTTTTTTTTTTTAATTTGCTCTAGGTAGAAAAAATCTCTAATTTTTTTTAATAATATCAAACATATAGCATCTTTTTTTGCTCTTTACCTTTTGTTTAATAAATAAGCTTTACAAATAAGTCAAATTTGTTTTGCTTCTAACTCTTCCTTTGCCTGATTTTGCATTATCCTTAATTTATGGACATGAGTGTATTTGTATCTCTTCTAATAGCTGGGAAAACATTTTGGATTTATAAAATAGTAAATAAACTTCGTGCAAGAGCAGCTGTAGAATTCAGACTTGCTGTTGGACGCGATTTCCTGTCAAGTTATCTACAACATATTGGCATCTCAAAAACCCGGATTCTCTGATTTGTGGGGAAAAGCTAGAGAAATGAAAGGAATCACATTATGATTTTCTTACCACAATGTGCAGTCTTCGGTATTGTGAGATCCTAGAACGGTTGAAGAATGATATATTTATTTGTGATGTTTTCTTGTTTTGTGTTCAACGCAGTTTTTCTTCTGAAACTAGTTTCCCGTTATCATTGTAAATAATAATAATAATAATAATAATAAGCTAAAGGACGATATGGGATTACAGAAAATGCGATAAATAGTAGTTGTGTTCTTGAATGACGAGTTTACGAGCTTACTTACTTAAAAACTAGACCTTTTTCATCTTCAAATGTGACAATATTATTTTTATAGGAGGTGTAAACACTAAGCAAATATTTTGTAAAGGAATGGAGCATAGAAACCGTTCAGAACCATTGTGGCAAAAAGATAATTCTTGGATTTCCTTTAGAGCAAGCTGAGGACTTCAGCCTTTACAGAAAGTTTTCTATTATACTTTAGAGTACAGGGGTCGCCAAACTTTTTTGATCATCGCCCCCTATATAATTTTTCGAAATCTCCATAGACCCCCACAAAGGTAATTTTCAGGTAATTAAAATAAAACTATATATTAGTCTAAATATTTAATAAATCAGAAACAGTAAGTAAAGTAGCTACAGATTTTTTACTTCTTAATGAGATGAGTGTGCCTGGTGTTTCTTGGCAAGGTTCGCTATATTGGGTTCGAAATTAGTCAATTTTAACCGTAAATCCCCTCGAAGCTCCACATTTAATTTATTTCTGTTTTTAGTTAAAATTGAATTAACGTGACTGAAACCGGCTTCAACCATATACGAACTTGGAAACGCCAGCATAAATGGCTGAGCCATTTCGTAAAGTTTCACATATTTTTGCTTTATATTTATATTAGTCCAAAATTTATGTATTGTCAAATTTTTAATAAGCGTTTTTGCTTCAAGATCGGACAATAGTTCAGCAAGCTCATCTTGTATGTTGATGTCGACGTTATCAATTTGCGCCGAAAATGGCGCAATAATCCAATCAGGGATGTCGATGTTTTCCAAATCAACAAAGCGCAGTTTAAAATCGTCGCTTAATTTTTGAAGATGATTTGTATATATTTCCAAGTCTTCTTCTTTTATTTTTAATTGTTGCAGATTTGAAAAATACTTATAATCCTTACGTAGCAATGAAGATCTAAATAAATTTAATTTTACTTGGAAGCCTAACAGTATTGTCCGAGCTTGGATAATTGTTACATCTTTTCCTTGCAGTTTTGTTTGAACGTCATTAAATTTTCCAAATAAGTCTGCTAAATAAAAAAATATGGTTCTTATTGTTTTGGAGTTCATTGCTTAGAACAGGATTTATTTCGTTCAGAAATTCTGTCGTGGAGTCAAATAAATTGACGAGCCGTTGCAAGCATACACCTCTAGACAACCATCTAACCTCGGTGTGCAGAAGTAATTGGTTAAATAACTCATTGTTTTCCTCACAAAGTTTGGCAAATAATCTTGATTTAAGAGGTTGAGCTTTAATTTGATTAATAGATTTAATACAAAACTGTAAAGCTTCATGTAACTCTGAACTCAGATATTTTGCTACTAAGTTGTGTCTATGCAACACACAATGAATAGTACGAATACCGGGCACTTTTTCTTTGAGGCATGTAGCAAAACCTCGGTAACGCCCTACCATAGAAGGTGCGCCATCTGTGGCTACTGCTATTATATTTTCAAGCGGAATGTCATATTTATTTAAATATTCTTGTAAACATCTAAAAATTGTCACTCCCTTCCCATCGGTTTCAAGATATTTAGCAAATAAAAATTCATCAATGACTTCTCCTTTAATTTTACTGAAATATCTAACATACGCCATAAGAATAGCAGAAACGCCAAAAACAGATTCATCAAGTTGTATAGAGAACTTGCAATTTTTTAGCTCCGAAACTACTGTGTTTTCTATTTCTTCGGCCATTTCGTCAATACGCCGTTTTACAGAATTTGCACTTAATGGCAAAGACTTTAAAACATTAGTAGAGTCTTTTTTCATCACATTCTCAATGACGTCTTTAATTGCAGGTACTACAATTTCTTCTGCGATTGTGTGGGGTTTTCCCCTCTTTGCTATATTAAGCGAAATCTTGTACGAAGCAATTAATCCTCCTTCATTTTCAGTTTCAGTAGACTGTTTCATAAAACTTTTTAGAGTTGGTCGACATGTGAATTTTTCTTTGAGTTTTTTGAAAAATTCTAATTCTTCATTTTTTTTATCTGAATGAAGCCTTTCAAGATGATCTTTCATTTTTGACGGTTTCATGTATTCATTTCCAAAAGTTTTTTCGCATATAAGACACATAGGAATAGTTTCATTTGTCGGTGAACAAATAAATCCAAATTTTAAGTAATCCAATGAATAATACCGACATTTCTTTTTAGATACTGAAGCTGTCATTTTTAAATTAGGGTTCTGTAAATAAGTTAAAATTAAGTTGGTATATTATACTAATCCACATTATTAAAGCTTACCTTTTCACAAGTAACAATAATTAAAATTGATATCAAAACTAAACGAATAGTTTTATAGAAACAATAACTCATTATCCAATGGTAGATATAATAGTAGTAATAATGACACTACAAGCATTTAATACTGTTCACAGTTCACAAAGATAGCTGAAAATGCATATGATATTTGCGTTTGTAGCATCCAGTGTAGAATTGGACAAGCGCACATATGCATCTGACTCATATGCAAGGCTCGTATGGTTTGCGATGGAGACAAAGGGCGAACCAACGACACGATGCGTAACTGCCGTATAAAAAAGAAAAAAAACTAAAAGAACTAAAACCACACACATAAGAAGAAAGAAAACGGAGTACTGAAGATTCCCTTCGCGCTTAATGCATAGAAAGCCAACGGCAGTGTCGTCGCTCGCCAAGTCTGCGCCAAAGGCTCCTAATTGGTTGATGGGTTCGCCAGCAAGAGACACGGATAAGCCTCAATCGCTCTTCTGGCTACATACTATGAGTCGTGCAAATTACAAACTGGTCACAAGGTCAAGTTGTGACGTCACGGTATACATACGAAAACCCATAAGGAAAAAAGGGGCAGATTGTTTTCTGATTTATTATTTTATTTTCTATAAAGAATATAATATTAAGTCAATTATAAAAATATTTTAAATTTTTACGTACGCAGTTAGATATGTGTGATTTGCGTATTAAGAACTGTTTTTCCTTTAAGTCCCAATAGACCCCCATTCGACCCCTTGGGTCAGATAGACCCCTAGGGGTCTATATAGACCACTTTGGCGACCCCTGCTTTAGTATCTAATATTAAAGAGATATCATTAATTTATTTTAGTTTCCGAGAGAAATCTTTAAAGGCGTGCTTCGAAAAATATTATTTTGGGGTAGTTGTTGTTTGGTTCTTATTCAAACTATTCAAAATTATTAGGTAAAAAAGATAATAGACGCGTGTCCAAACTAAAGTATAATTAACAATAACAACTTTTATTTTATAATTTTATTATTATTATACAACAGAATAAAAAAACTTTTAAAGTCTGCATTCAGTAACTACAGTGACCTTCAGTTCCATTGATCTTCTCATTTAACAAGAAACATTTATTACATATTTAGAAGTGATAAATAACAAAAATTAATACATCATCAAACAAAGTTTAATATATTTCTATAACTCCATAAAAACATCTCTTTCTTTACGGAGATAGCCCTAGTGTGCTTTGCCATTATCAAATAATCTTACTAATCCCGATTCCATTTAAACAAACAGATTTCAATTTAAAGAGTTCCAGAGGCGTAGCTAGGGCTATCAGCTACCAGGGAGAGCTGAAGATTTCGTGCTTTCTCCTGTTTGCAAAACTGCAATGGTGAAGGGAAAGAAACTTTTCTCGACGTTGCGCTCTAGGCCAGATGCTCCCCTTGCCTCCCCTAGCTGCTCCACTGACGGGCTTTCGTAAGCCATATAGTTAACTAGTTTTAAATATAACTTTTCACGCAGTAGAGGTCTTAAACATTACAAAACTTTTATTAGTTACGGCGTTCATTTATATTACCTCAGCATATATTATGTCAACATATAAGACTTTGTTCGCTATCATAAATAAATATATTTCTATAAATTAAATAAATATAAAAAATCTTTAAACTAGAAACTCCTCACCATTAATACATCATTGCTAATGTATACTATAATATATTACAGTGTTTAATACCGGGAAAAATAAAAACTGAACCCTCTGCTTTCTTGGCCTTATCTTCTGCAAACAGCTGTAAAACTCTTTGAAAAATTTCTCAAATTATCTTACAAAGTTCTCTAAATTTCAGGTGCATGGACTGTAAGAATGAAATACTGTTGTGTATTGAACTAATGAAAATGTTATGATAGCCCCAACAGCTGTGCCTACTTGAGTGAGAATACCACATCGATAAAGTGCAGGCTGGCCGCCTTCTCGTCGCAAAACTGAAGCTATACAAGTTTTGATATAAGCCACTATACCAGATACCATAACCCAAGCGAGAACCTGAAAAGAATATACCTTTGATAATGGTTCAGATATATTTATATGCATATAAATGTAAGTACTCAAATATTAAACAGAAACCAAGCAAGAAGTCTAACATTACTAGCCATCCAAAATGTCACATAACGGAGAACAAGAGATACCAAGACGTATTTACTGAATGAATAGTGTAATATATGAGAGTGAACTGATTAAATCTAAGCTTATTCGGCTTAAGGAACACGAAGAAATCAGTATCTTATGTAGCTGACTTGACTAGGAATAACTGCTGCGGCGTGTCTCGGCACTCAAAGAAAGAAGGTTTGGATGTGTGCTTGGGTATTCACTCGGCTGTTTACACGTGTTACTAAGTTCAGCTTCAGATACTGTATTTAGATCAGTGCTCCGCAACCGGTGTGACGCGGCACACTGGTGTGCCATGAGTAGGATATAGGTGTGCCGCAATCAAATACATGTATTTGACATTTTGCAATCTTTTATCATGTATTTAATACACAATGACATTTTTTTTTCCTTAATAATGTCTATTTTAAATGTTTTTATATATTTCACTGTTGTGTGGTTGTTGTGTCTGATTGTAAGTGTGTCAGCATTTGAATTTTTTCGGCACTTCCTTGATAACTCGGAACTCTTTGGTGTGCCACGAAATTCCAGAAAGATTTTTTGTGCGTCGCAGGTGAGAAAAGGTTGCGGAGCACTGATTTAGATCACTCAATACCCAGACACATTCGATAGGCGATATGTTTTGCGAACGGGAGGGCAGCAACGCGATCTGGTGGGGCAATAATGAATTGTTGACCTTTGCGTGCCACGTGCGGCCGCGAGTTATACTGTTCATACTTGGCCGCAGAGAAGTCTTAGACTTCTCTGCGGACTCCAAAGTAGTAGACTCCAAAACTTCAAAGACAGTTATCAAATATGCCGGCAATGCGTATCAAGCGAGTGCGGTAGTGAAACTCAATGACATCTCAAACCATAACTCCAGGTGACGAATATTATGATATAGTGATTCAAAATGCTATTAAAATGCGCGTGATATCTGTCACTACAATGTCGCGAGACTCGTATACAACCATTGCGAAGCTATAGGCATAACTGAGCTTTGTCTGAAAGGACAATATCGTCCCCTTCTTTTGTCCATGTTTGTCTATTATAGCCGTATATGCTTGTAGAGTAGAGACAACGGTAAATCAAAGATTCTCTTCTTCTGCAGACAATATCGAATGCTGCGTGTTTATGCAGGTTGTTGTGGAGCAGATCCTAAATCTTGTGCTAACTTTCTTAATGTTGCTGAGGGATCTGTTACGGCCTTACATACAATATGTCTAATCACGTGTATCTAATCACTGTTGAGATCTAAACGTGACGCACATTTCAAACTTATTGGATGCTTCATTCATGGTGTAGCATTTTTAATAGTTTTTAGTGTATGAAGGAATATTATGGGCGTTATTTTGAGGTTTGTTTATGGTGCTATAATTTAGAAGCACAGTTCTATGTTTTGTATCTTATTAGTTTTGACTATTTTTACGCATGCTGGTTGCTTCTAAGTCAAATTAAAGTTCAAAAGCATTCTCAAAGTCAATTGAAGTCAACGAATAACACTTGGTGTAATTATTAGGATAATTTTGGTTGCGAGTAAATTTAAGCCCTGCTCACAATGCTGCCAGAAATGTCAGAACCGTTGGAGCAGATGTGTGTATTTCAGATGAATGTTGCTTAAATGGTAAATAAACAATATTCCACTACATTTGAAATAGATCTTATAAATAGTCTTATAAATATTTTCTCTAAATTTTTAAACAAAGGAAAATGAAACTACATGATAATATTAGAATTAAATTACTTCTATGGTTAGGACAGGGGGTTCCCAACGTGTAGGAGAACACACGCCTCCCATATGCCACTGCAGAATGCTCAGCACACACAAGTGCTCCAGAATCAAAAACGTACTTGGGGTCTCTAAGCTGCATGCCGAAAGCTGCGCTTTGCCGTCCAAGACGTCACTGGAAGCATCATGTTTAAGAAGAGCTACCGTCGCACACTTGAAGCCCACCAGCGGCCGAGCGGTAAAGTCGCTGAACACTGCTAGTTCAGTCCGAGGTTCGAATCCCGCGAACGGGCTGGTTGCATGGGCGTTTTCGTGGCTTTCCCCATGTGTAACGTGTATACGAGCCAGTTCCCCTTAGAAAGTCCTCCACGAAGGCATTCCTCCCCTTAGGCAGATAGCCCTCGAGGCTTTGCCATAATCACTCACACACACGCACAGTTGAAATTGCACACTTTTGATATTCTACAAATCTTTAAATTCATAAACGCCTGGAACTTATACGAAATGAACAGCTATCTGCTTGTATCTCTTCTAATAGCAGAAGAAACATTTTGGATTTAAAAAATAGTAGATAAATCTCATGCAAGAGCAATTGTAGAATTCAGACTTGCTGTTGGACGCGATTTCCTGGCAAGTCATCTATATCCAAAATCTATTAAACTTGCAAATCTAGGCCATAGCATAGATTTGCAAGGTTTATTATTTTAAAAAGCTATCTTTAGCTAAAAAAATTGCCCATCATACTCACCACAAGACTTCCACCCAGAGCTGAGTCAACAAAAGGTGGTGTTGGGCTTAAAAGGGCTATTGTCATAATGTAAGCTCCCCAAATGAATACATAGACTGTTAAACCGGAAATTGCAGCCACGCTTGAGATGGGTAAGAACATTGCTACAAAACAGCATAGTGGGTTAGCAAAACTGGAGAGAGTAACAGTCAAATGGAAAGCCAAGCTCCCATACGGCAAGCAGGAATACGTCTATAAATAAATAACAACAATAAAAAATTATCGAGAAAAGATAAGAATTTCAAAATCATTTAATTAAAATGATATTCAGCATGAATCAATATGGAATCTAAAAATTCTTTTACTCATACTACGGTAAAATAATTTTTTTGAAAGTTAAATTACCTATGTAGCGCACGAGTATTTGTTAAATTTTCAGTATGAAACAAAAGTGTGCATTTCTATATTGTATATTTGCAAATACATACACTATAAAACATAATTTTTTTTTTACAATTAGCCTTTAAATCCATTAAATTACTCTAATGTACTAACACCATAATGTTAAAAATAATGTTAAAGCTTTCAAATTTATATAACTCTCTAGTAAGCAGTTAGTTCAAAACACAGCTTTACATTATGAACACGCTTTCAGTTTCTAGCCAAGGAAACTTACAACGATTCAGTTAAGGCCATTTATATCTTTGTGAGTTGTATACATATTGAACATCAAAAACGAAATAAATCGCTCAATTCTAACTGTATCAAAAAGGAATACTCGAAAAGCCAGAACATTATGATTAGCCAGTTGTTATGGAAATGAAAGCAGCTCCAAATATACGACAGTAATTAATGATTTATGGAGATTTCGCTCGCCATAAATCATGCAAAAGACATGTTGGAGCTGGAACTGCACATTTAACTTAGTTTCCAGGTGTTACACAACGGCAATACAGCATTTGAGATCGAGCTTCGGCACTAGCAGAGCAGCAACGATCATTGACTTGCACTGATGCCATCTATCTGGATTTGTTTATTAGTGGCAAGCATCATCAACAGCAAAACCGAACAGCGTTTTTCAACAATCAAATGCAGATGGCGCTACTAAACAAACCAGGTCTCGTAGCAATAACGCTTGCATCTGCGACATATAATAAAAAGAAACTGCTGATGATCTGAGAAATAACACTGCAAAATGCTGGTGTTATTTCTCAGATCATAACAAATTTAAAACATGTTCGAAAATGCCAGAGCGGCTAAAAGATTTTCAAAGGCAGCATAATTTGAATGCCGCCCAAAATCAAGCATAGTAACCAGAAGTTATAAAACGTTTTCCCAGTAGGAAAACAGTATAAAATGCTGCTAAATTATGAGACACCATGCATGATAACTCAAAATTAAAAATAAAACAAAATTATCTTGTCAGGTTCGAACGCAAAGGAACATGTGACGCAATTTACCGATGATTTCTAGACTGGAAAGAAATGTATCACAATAACAGTGAATTGAACTAACCTGAAAATGGAGTCGTATTACCTCTATTCTAATCCGTTGGCAATCTAAATTCACCAATGACAGAGCCTTGTTGGCCTCGAGGGCACCAAAATTGGATTTCGAATGATTGGCTAAAGATAGTTTGCCTCAAATTTGATTTTTTCGTGCCCATTGGTTTAGATGTAAATTGTGCATAACTTTAGAAAGCATGAATGTTGTTTATGATACCTATGATTTCTGATTAAGGCAACTATTTTTAAGCCATAGTGAGAACACCATAATAGCACATGCGAGGAATGCGGCAATTTCCCTACGCAGTGACAGGCAAAGTGGGATTAAGATTTTGAGAAGCCTTAAGCACTTGTGCTTCCAGATACGTTTACACCAACCGTTTTCTTCATTCCTTATTTCTCTCGATTTTGGTTTAGGTGCACCATGCATTCCTTGGTAAAACTTTTGGTAATGGGAAACTTTTTGGTACCCCTTTCCTGAATACCTAAGAACCTTTTTGCAGTGCCCCTTTTCCTTTATTCCCTAAGCACGTGCTCATATTGCTTAATGGTTAATCCAGCTCTGGTGGCAGGTTATTCACTTATCCATTTGATATTGAGTATAATTAACGTAACGTACGTAAAGGTATACTTAAAAAATAAATAAAGAAAGAAAACAAAAACTTCATGGCTTTTTTTTCCCTTATTTCTACAATTTATTTCTATAATTTTCTTATTTACATAATATATTTATATAATTTCCTTATTTATTCCAAAAGCTTAAGTAATAGCAATACGCGGTGAAACCAATAACGGCAGCCACAGATACACTTCCTGTAAGGGAAAAGATTGGTTTTCAGATACTCCACAATATTTTGTAAGTAATAGAATTTACTTACCTGTATTGATAGCAGAATTCCGTTATGTAAGGCGCATACGAGGCCCTGAAGTAGTAGCAATATGATGTACTGTGATTTAGAAAACCTTGGTTTTCCCAAGAGATTCTTTTCTAAAGATGTTGTTTTTTCTAAGCTTGATGAAAATTCCATAGAATTGTGTAAACTCTCGTCCAGTGCTGGATGTTTAGAACTTGAAAATGGTATGGTGGGTACCTATTAAAAAATGCAGTGTGAGACGTTATTCTTTTTAGGAAGTATCCACATCAAATGAGTAGATTAAAACAGGCAAAAAACATTACTTTGGCATATATTTTAAATAAAATTCTATCGATTTCAAAGAGCTATAAGATACACGTACCTCTTTTTCAGCAAGGAGGGGGAGGGAATTTCCAATTTTATACAAATTCTACGCCAAAGTACTTTGGAAAGTTTCTCTTCTATATGAAATGACTAAATACTTTTCCCCCCAGTTCCAGTAACACAGATCTAACTAGTTTTCTTGTGGAATTTTGCTTAATTTTAATATATTTGCTTAATTTTAATTATGCAAGACTAGAAATAATAGCAAAATGCGCATTTTCACATGCCGTAAAAAGTGCCATTTGTGCGAATTAAATTTTGTGCCATTTGTGCGAAAAAAAAGACAATGCAAACAAAAAGACAGCATGACAGCTGGCAGTTCAGGATTATTAAAAACGGTGCGCTACACGAAAGAACAACGCCTTTTCATAGTTGAACAATATTTTTAAAAAATGAAGTTTCGGCAAATACAGTATATGGTCGGAATAGTGATTTAATTTCATTAACTAAGAGATTAATTAAACAATTTAAGGTGACTGAATCAATTAGCAATCTTAAACAATCTGGCCGTCCTTTTCAACAAGTGGTTCAACATAAAACATTGAAGCAGTTCTTAAGAATGTTGTTGAGAATCCAAAGACATCAATTCGGCATCGTGGTTAAGAGCTGAATATTTCGAGAAGTCTTCTACGGCATATTTTTATGAAATATTTGCATCTCCATGTTTATAAAGTTCAACTGACTCAAAACCCGAAGCCTACTGACCACGCACAGCGAGAGTGTTCGCTGGTATGGATTATGGAACAACAACAAATGGATGCTGATTTTTCGAACAATATCATCTTCAGTGATAAGGCTCACTTTCATCTTGATTAATTGAGAAAATTGTCGCATTTGGGATTCAGAAAATCTATGAGTGATTGTTGAAAAACAAATGCAACAACATGTCACTGTTTTGTGCGGATTTGGGGCTGGAGGCATCATCGGACCATTCTTCTTCGAAAATGCGGCTGGTCAGGGAATATAGTTAATGGCTGGTCAGGGAATAATAGTTAATGGCTGGTCAGGGAATAATAGTTAATGGCTGGTCAAGGAATAATAGCTGTGGGTCCAGCAAGACGTAGCCGCATGTCATACAGCCCATGAAAGAATTCAATTATGGTACGGTATGAGTCATTTCCTGGTCGTGTAATTTCCAGATCTGGTAACCAGAATTGCCGCTCCCCCCCCCATATCAGGAGATTATAAAATGTTGCACTTCTTTCTATGAGACATTTTGAAGTCTAAGGTTTATGCCAAAAACCCCACGACTTAAAAGAGGAAATCGAGAGCTGTATCAACGAAATTCAACCACATTTATGCAAAACGGTCATAGAATATTTCAACAAAAGAGTTCATATGTGTCAGCAAATCCGTGGAGGCCATTTACCCAATATGCCATTCTATACATAACCTTATACTTTATAATTCATTAATCAATCAAAAAGTTACAATTTTTAATTATAAATCTTTGTTTTCTGTCAAAATTACTTCTTACGTGAATTTTGAGAAACACTATGCATTAAAAAAGAGAAGAAACTAAAAGCAGTTTTATCGAGACGCAGATGGACTCTTCTGAAGACCTTGCCGTTAAAATTATCAAATATCATCTATATCAAATACCGGTGATTAAAATGACTTTTCGTTCTCCCTATTCTTCGTATGTACCGTGTTTCCGAGTTTACATTTCATACTCCATAACCCACTGTATTATGAAAATTTTTACTTTTGCGAAACTTTTATCACCCCTTAAGGGCCGTTCCCAATGAGGTTTATCTGAGCTAACGGGGACAACTAACGTAGCCGACCCATCTCCAAAAACAGTTTTTTCCCATAGGGCAGCAAGTTGAAAAATCTGAACTGCAGGCATAGCGGAGCTAGTCGACACATGGAACTGACTCCGTTAGCTTAGATAAACCCCAATGGGAACGGCCCTTTAAAGATGCAACCTTCCCTCCTACAGAAAACATGCAATAATGTCATTTCAAAAAAGTAAGTAAGATTTTTAAATATCAAACCTGTCGCACCAGTGGCCGAAAGACTAAAGACTGCTGAATACTAGTCGTTCATCGAACCCAAGCGAAAGGCTGGCTGCAAGTTTAGTTTCCGCAGTTTTTCGCATGTGTGAGTAAGAGCCAGTTTTCCTAGGAAAGTCCTCCATGAAGGCCTCCGTTTCTTTAAGATAGCCCACGTGTGTTTTCCCAAGTTCAAATAATTAACCAACCAAATATAAAGTTGGAAAAAACAATTCACGTTACAAAAGAAATATGCAATAACAATACATTATTCTTAATAAATATTACTCTTGTGGTGTTCCAAAGTAAAAGTGAAGAGCTAAGAATTACGTTGGATTGAAAAGGGTGTTTAAATTAATATAGTTATTTATACATAACCTAAATATGCTAAATGTAATTCTCTGGCTCTTATACATAGTCACCCGCCTTATTACCTCCTCATATTTTACCAGTAAAGTGTAGCATCAACTTAGGAGAAAGTTTAAAACAAATCTTAATATTACAACTTCGGTCTAACAATTTACACAGATCCTGTAATAACAGAAAGCTCGCCGCTACCTGCGGGATTAACAGAACAAAAAAATAAAAGTATGTAAAATATGGTATTACAAGGCATTGTTCGCCTGTAAGTTTTGGCTAAAGCCCACAACTCAAGCCACTAAACACGGCTAGCAAAGCCTAAAGCCGATTCAAGTAAACTTAAAAAAGCTGGGTCAAAATAAAATAGTATTGAGAGAGTCAGCGGTCCTACAAAAGCTCACTACTAAATTCAAAAATTCTATTCTTATATGCATTAACTAATTTGCATTCTGGCCGAAGACGACGAAAGTAGGCTCCCGCCTGCTTTTTTATATCACAGACAAAATAATAATTTCAAACATGCAGCTTATTAGCAAATGGAGAAGTGGAGAATAGTTTAGGAAATTATTAAAGATATAGCAGAATAAAATATAATCTAACCCCGCTATAACGAACTTTAAGAGAGCGGTAGTTTGGTTCGCTACATCTCATCCAGTTAAGAAAAATAAATCACTCATAAAAAGTATAAAAATTGACTAATAAATAAATAAATAAAAACTGATAACTTTTTTTACTACATTTGCAAAAGAAGTACTAAATAATAACTTTCATTAAAAATATCATATTAAGGTTCTGTTTTGGCCTCCTCGGTGATTGCGGTGATTTGTGCCCAGAGGGCGCACCGCACAAAAAGTTAGTTGCGTTACAGAACGTAAGGGAAGCGGACGCGCCAAAATGTCGGGCGTATTACCGCTAATTGAGGTAATTGCATCGTATCTGTCAGGTGGCAGAAAACTAGTATGATGTATCAATTCACATGCCAGGTGGCAGAATATGTCTATCATGTACATGCCAGGAGGCATAACGCTTGTAAACATGCCAGGTGGCATACGACTTGTAAATAAATTGTAAATAAATGTACAGTAAAATATCTTGGTGCAATAGATCAAGGAACACGCATCAACAACCTTCTGATCATTTGGATACGTACATTTTTTTGGTGACACCGGACTTGATTTGTGGAGATGAAGAATGGACGAAGAAAATTAGTGAGTTCATGACTGAAAAGCCAGGATTTAACGCGAAGAAATTCGAGGTAGGCCCTTTTTCATTTTTCCAGTTTTGAATAGAATTGTTGAATAAAAATCTTGGTGATTATTATAGTTGATAGAATCTAATGGTAAAATGGAGGCTATGAATAAGGCAAAGAAGTTGCGTACGGTGACGCGTAGCTTAACTACTAAGTTGATGAGTAAAATAGATTCTGCATTGTTAGAAGAGGGTGAAACCGCGGATGAGAAATTAAAAGAATTACTCGAAATGTTACTTGAAAAATCGCAGTTGTTGAAACAATACGATTCTGAGATTGAAAAACTTATAATTACGGAACAGGAGTTGGAAACAGAAGTAATTTCCGCGCAGGAATATCAGGAAAGAATTATAAGTTTTAAATGTAAAATTCAGGAAAAATTAAGAAAAAACGCGTGTAAAGTTGAATCTAGAAATTCTAGTGAGGAAACTATATCTCCGAAGTTGAAAACTTGTGAAGTTAATACTTTAAAATTGCCAAAATTAACGATTACAAAATATTACGGTGATCCTTGTTCTTGGCTTGAATTCTGGAATCAGTTTAGTAATTCCATTCACCAAAACGAAAGTCTCAGTTCGGTTGACAAGTTTTGTTATTTAAAATCGCTTTTGGGAGGTTTAGCTTTAAATGCTATTAGTGGATTAACATTTACTAGTGAAAACTATACGGTGGCTGTTGATATACTAAAAAACCGTTTCGGCAGAGATGACCTGCTAATTAATGCGCATATGAATAAATTGTTGAGTTTAGAACCTGTAAAATATTCCGGAAATACGGCTTCTTTGAGGAAGCTTTATGACGATATAGAAATACAAATAAGGAATTTAAATTCTTTAAATGTTACTAGTGGTTCTTATGGACATTTATTATCCCCTATTTTGTTAAAGTTAATACCCGAGAATTTAACTCTAGAATTCACTAGGAAAAGAAGTGATAAACAAAATTTCGATGTTAATGAACTACTAACGTTCTTGAAAACGGAAGTGGAATGTAGGGAAACATCAATGATGTTAGCGCGTTCTAAGAATTTTGATGTAAATGAAACATCAATACGAAACAAAAGTTCCCATCAAGGTTATCAAAATAAATCTTACATGCATTCTAAAAGAAATGATTACAGTACGAATAAGCAAGGTGCTTCGGTATTAACTAGTCAAAGCGAAACTCCCTCTAAATACTTTCAAAAATCACATTTTAATCCAAATCGAAAGTTCTCTACCCCGCCTAAGAAAGAGAATCAAAATGTCTGC